TGCTGGGCGGCCCCGGCGGCAGCAGCGTGACGGCCCTGCTGGTGCTGCCTGGCCGGCCAACGCCGTGCTGGCTGCTCTCCGGGAGCCAGGACTCGTGCGTCGTCTGGTGGGACCTGTTCAGCGGGGAGGCGCTGCACCGCTTCGCGCTGGACGCGGGGCCCGTCGCCCGCCTCCTCCTCTCGCCGGACCGCTGCAGGGTGAGTCGTGGCCCAGCGCAGCCCTTCCCGTGCGGGCTTGGAGCGCCGGGTCAGGGCGGGCCCCCGTCCCCAGACAGGCGGCGGGAGCGCGCCCTCTGCGCGCGGGTCTTTGCGCCCGCTGGGCACGGCGCGGGAGTTTCGGGGTCGGGGCTCCTCGCGGCATCGCCCTTCCTCGCCTTGTCTTTGCAGCGGAACGGCCACCGGCTTGTGTGCTGCGTGTGCAGCGACCACTCCGTTGTGCTTCTGCACGTGCAGGACCGTGCCTGCCTTTTGCGTGCCAGGAAACACCTTTTTCCCGTGACGGTGTTACGGTGGCACCCGGTGGAGAATCTGCTGATCGTTGGGTGCGAGAACGACTCCATCTACGTTTGGGACATTGAAACAGGTGATGGGAGGGAGGCCGCGCCACGCTGCGCCACTTCCACCCTGGCCTCCTTTTGCAGCGGGCTGCCCCGAATGCGTTTGGGCAGCCGGGGAGCTGACCGTAAAGGAATGAGCAGCGGGCCTCGACCTCAGTGCGGATAGCTGTGATTATCAGCAGGAAAGGGACCTGCGAATCCTCCTCTGCCCAGCCTGAATACCCTGGAGACCAGCTCCCTGCTGTTGGAGGAGCAGGGCGGCTGCCAGAGTTCAGCTTTCCACTCACAGCCCTTCTCCGCGTATCCGGAAGGTTGCGGAAGGCATGCGTGGCCCCGCGGTCCGCCGACTCTGAGAAGCAGCCCGCCTGGCCTCAGAGGGCGCACGTGTCCTTCCCGGCCATTCTCTGACCCTTCACACGATTCCTGTCGTGATTATTAGGCCAAAGCAAAGTAGGCCCTGAGGGGGACGCAGTGGCGCAGTGGCTTAATGACGCTGAAAGTTGCTGGCCAGAAATGGTCG